GTTGGGTTACATGGAATGGATAATCTGCATTCATCCTTTGACTTAGATTCATTTTTATGAAAATAAGTGTAGATGATGTTTGATTGGCGAAGGCAAACCTCGCCTAAGATTCGACGAAGCTACAAAGCTGGGGCAAAAAATATATATGGGCTTAATTCTCCGCTAATAGTGAGTGTATCAAGTTCACGACGCTTCGTGGTTAAAAAAGTAGGACTGTGACACCGGGATGTCATGGGCCATATCTAGATCTTGATCCAAGGGAATGTTAGAGCCCATGGGCCATTTGGAATCCACGTTCTAGTCCACATCGTCTCCAAAATCATCAAATACCAGAGGAGGTTTAAGGGACAAAACCAAGTACGAAGGCCAAGAACATGAACAAGGATCAAGTTCCAAGTCCTTGGAACTATGACTCAACCTCAAAACCAAGGTTTTTATATCAAAATCATGTTTAAGAACTTAAAATTCAAGACCAAGGTTCTCGGACTAGAACAATGATAAGAGCTTAGAACTCAAGAACATAACCTAATGACCTAAGTTCTACGGATAAGAACAAGAACTTGACAAGTAAAGAGTGTGGTGTCCTAATATCCACCATGAACACGATTAAAAGTCTACAAGTAAGCTAATTGTTGAGTCTTTATACTCCCTCTATGTTTTTCATGTTTTTTTAGGTTATCAAGAAGAAGCTGGTTGAGGATGAGAGCAAATCTGGAGCCAAATATATTAAAACTCTTAATCTTTTCAACTATTTAATATTTTAAGTTGATTTGTTGACTGATATCATGTATTTGAACTCCTAAGTTTTATTTTGTATTTTTAAATAATATGTATTTATGTTTTACATCCCTTCTATTTAGGATTTTAAAAGTGAAATTTTCTAGTGTGGGACTCTTGAATCAGGTTGTGACATATATCCTAAGATTCCATACCAATATCTGGATGAGTTGATGTGCTCAAATGAGTCGAGAGAATGTATTGGATCTATAGAGAATTAAAAAACTATTAGAAACTTGGATAAGCCAAAAAACCTCATCATCTATGTCACACGTAGATACGTAGAAGTTCATGATTTGAAGCTTCAAAAATCGTTATATAGATAGGAAATTATCAGCTCATCAAAGTCGTTAGGACAAAATTGGCCACGATTCCACAAACTCATCCCTTCAAAACAATTCTTCGCTTCATAAGGAAGAGCTTTCGTGTGGAAGTCGAGCCTTGGCTCTAAAATTGTTGTCCAATAAAGAAATTATGAACTTATTTATATGATTTACAGATGACTAGAATTTTATGTGCTGGAATAGCTCAGTTAGTGTGACTGTTAACCACAAAGTCGGAGGTTCTCAAGCACTCCTAATGTTAATGTTCATATTTGAGTCTTTTTTGAGAAGAAAAAACTTTCCTGAGAACGGATTTGGAAGAGGTCTAATTTGATGAAAAACTAAGGTGGTCTGGTTTTGGGGTGGTCCAATTGAACCCACCAGGTCATTGTCTTCTTCCTCCTCCAGCAAGGGAAGAAGAGACGTGTGCGGTTAGCATCACCGTCTAAAACCAGTAGACCACAACCCATCATGATGACTTTCTTCCCTTGATTCGTTTAGATAGTGTTACAAGGAAGACGTAATGATCAAGTTCTTACCGTTCAGCTGACTATAACTCAAGAAATCATCCTCCAAAGAACAAGATGAAGACAATTTCTTATTGGTTGGGCACCTTATCCTCGCTTGTGTATCTTAGTCTTATTTGGAGTCTTACACTGGCTCTAAATTAGTTTGTCTCACTTAACGATATAATTCTTCTGACTTATCATTACAATCTTTCATCAAGTGACGACGCTGTTGATGCGGTAGATGTGAGACTTCCTTTTTGAATGTATTGGTACTTTCTTGATATTGCGTTGCAGAAGCATTAAATCCAAGGGGAAAGATGGTTACCTACAAAGGGATTCAAGGCATTATCGACGCCATGGTTACCATTTGAATAGAAGTTTAGATGACAGTTAGGATAATGTTTTTCCTATTATTCTGGTGCCCACAAAATAATAGGCGAATTAGTGCGAAGCATTTCTCCAAGAACCTTTCAATTAGCATCTCCCATGTTTCCTTTCACTCCAAGCTTACCTGGTACTTGATCTAGTTTTTGCACGAAATAGCAATTTGTTAAGCAAGTTTAGGAGACTTAATTTGTCGAACAAATTTAACCGATAATAGTTTGTTCGGCAAGTTTAGAGATTTAATTTTGGAGTAAATTTATGATAACTATGACATATTTATATTATATCAAAATAGAGTTTATACATAAGTATTTTAATACAAAATAAACGTAAAACATTTATAAAAAAAAAAAAAAGAGTTAAGAGGCTAGAGGTGAGACTTGTCTGTGGCACCTGCTCTAGAGTCCGATCCTTAATTACTTGTAAAACATAGAAAACATGGAGTGAGTATAAAGACTCATTAAGTAGTCTACTTGTAGGTTCTTAATCGTGTCCTTAAGGTATGCTAGAGTACCACACTTATTTTTTGTCCTGTTCTTGTCATTGTCTTCAGTTCTTATTATTGAGTCTTATCCTGGGTTTCTATTTTTTGAGTGGTACCTAGCACGCTTCATATTTTAGCATACTTAGGCTTAGGTAGTACTACTTTAGGGCATAGGTGTGTGATAAACTTACTTAACCCATGTTCTTGAGGTAGCCTCCTGATTTACTTACCAATCAAGGGCTTACCCGGAGCTCATCTTAATTTAGGATAGCATCCTGATTACTTAAAAATTAAGGGATAGCCTAAAACTTATCATGAGATAGCAACCTGATCACTTAAAAATCAAGTGCTAACTTTGAGCTCATATTGGATTAGGGTGCCTCCTCGTTACTTAAAAACCAAGGGCTATCCTAAAACTTATTATGAGATAACATCGTGATTACCTAAAATTTAAGTGCTAAATATTTCTTTAATAAGAGTAACCTTCTTGTTAATTACAAAAACATGGGTTACCCTAAACTTATCACGGAATAGCATCCTAATTACTTAAAAATCAAGTACTAACCCTAAGCATATCATAAACTTATAACACACCTAAGTTACGATACTTAATAACATTAACTATCATTAAGGTGCATAAACTTACAACACACCTAATCACTTTCCTCGTGTCTTAACGTAAACTCATAACATCATAAATTAAGGAATGGTATAAGGCTTCATCTCATTTAGAGGTTACTTGGGAACCTTGATTTTATTAAGAATTATAAAACATTTAATATGAGAGCAAGAACTCTACCTTATAGATACCACAAATTGCAAGCCATTTTAGTGTATTCCAACAACTTTGAAGTACTTTCACAATATCTTACGAGACTTAACTTATGCATTATAGAATAAGTTGTGTCCATTGATGTAATCATTACAAGAAAATCAATCATTCACGATTTGATTAAAGCATGTACAATAATGTGTTAATCTAACGAACAAGGAGCTGTAAATTAACATTTTGTGTTCTAGGCATGCCTATTATCATCCTAAAGACGTGAACATTAACTTATCATACTTCTAATTCTTATTTAGTGACATGGTTTGATTAAAATATGCTTGAGATTCAATAATATCCAATCGGGTCAAATCAACCAAAAAAAGACATACATAATGCTTCAAGGCTCTAAGCATGCATATTTATATCATGGGAGGTCATACGCAATCAATCATAACATTCCAAGTCGATTCCTACAAATATTTTTTTGAAAAAAAAACTAAAGTGGTTACTTACCTATTCAAGCGTATTCAAGAACTAGGTTTTCCTTCTTTCGAGACTCCGAATGTCATTAATTTCACAAAGTGATTTTAAATTAAGTCAAAATAAAGAAACTAGTAAAAGAATTGAACTCAAATAGTAAAAAAATGAGAGTAAAAACAATATGATAGTCCAAATCAATTCAATTGGATAGTTACTGGCTGGTTCAAGTGAACTGACCTCATCACCCTTTAAATGCTTACAATTACTAACTTCATATCGTCTAAAAATAGAATTCATTTCATCAATTCATGTTTTATTTTGAGTTTCTTCATCACTAAAGTTGTAGTCATGATGTCCATGAAGCTCATGGTTCAATTTTTACGAATGACAGGTCATTGTACCAAGAGTTATGCATGAAAGAACAAGTTGTATTTTTCATTCAAGTATTTTAGACCCAATTTGCTTGGTAAATTTGTAGTAATCTTCTTCTAAATCCAAAAACACCAATTTCAGAACATGTCATGAGGTTGAATTTTCTGAGTCAAGGCTTCTAGATTATGGGTTAAAAACTTTAAATGTCGTCCATATTGGAGGAACACCAAACTTGTTCTACTTCTTGCACAAAGTTTAGGATTTCGTTTTACCTTTGTCGAACTCCAACCAGATCTTGGCTACCAATGGGTTTCAGCCCTCGATTTCTTTCTTTACGAGGATTGCTTAGAAACCTTCTCAAGAGCTATAGATTAAAGAAAACCTTCCCGCCCATAAAACTACCAAAAAAACATCAGACCAATTGACTCCTGAATCTTCATGAATATGAGTTACAAAATTATAGGAAAAACTAGAAAAAAGGGCAATGTCATAAAGCCTTATCAACCAATTGGTTATCCATTTGCCAACTTGTTCCCTTAACTATCGGTTCTAGGATAGTGACGTGGTCATTTCTACACCGTTCTTGAACAATAACCCTCTTACTGGCATTGATTGATTGATCCACCCCATATCATGAACATAGTATCAAGAGGCAAGCAAATTATCAAAATAAAATATACAAAAAAAAAAATTGTGATTTATTCGAACGTTTACGGTATATTCTTCAAATATTTCAATTACATACACGTTCACATTGACCTACAAAGATTGATTTTTTTTTTTTTTTTTTTTTTTTTTTTTTTTTTTTTTTTTTT